GAAGGAGAAGTCGCAAGTGATCCCTAGCATTTTTGCTGAGACGTGTCACATATTCGCGTTTTTGAGAAGTCGCAAGTGAACCCTGAGAGAAGTCACAAGTGAGCCTCCTCTCGAGAAGTCACAAGTGAACCCCGGGAGAAGTCACAAGTGAACCCCCTTCCGAAGCCGACGCAGGTACATGCATTAGTGCCGGCGTGGCAGGATTATGTTGGAAATCCGACGACTCGTAGACTTTCATGCAATGTAATTCAGTCGATTGTTCAACGATGACCCGTGAAAGGTGCCTTTCAGCAATGTCTACCACAACATTACTTTGCTACGGTGCAGTTTTGAACACCCCGGTGGGCATTTCAGGCATTCTTGGCGGCTTTCTTCTGTCCTGAGGTTGGAGACTTCACCTGCACGCAGAGAGGCAAGGTGCTCAGCTTATCCATCGCTGGTCGAAAAAATGAAGGCATCCTGGCAGCTATTGGAGGCATATTAAATATGTTTTTCTCAAGTGTTACCTGCAAGCTCAGCAAACAAAAACTGAGGACTTGCGGTCCAAGGTGATCTCTGGCGTGATGGCCAGAGTGGCAAGCTGCGAAGCAGCCGCCATTTAGAGTTTGACCTACAAGCCGAGCTGCAGCATTTGAAGACTGTCCCGTGCAGTCGCAAGCGTGCGAGCTATTTGAAGATATCTCTTGTCCGTGGAGACGCTGACATGTTTGCTTTCCTGGCAGTTGCAGGAACACTGCTGTTGCCTTAATGCTTTTCTAACCTGGGGAAATTTGGTGACAACCAACTGGTTGGACCATGCTCCCACCATGGAAGCTTCCAGCCCGTCACGGCCCTCACGGGGAGAGGAGCAACTTGTTCGTGCTTTCTCAGGTCTTGATATGCAAGCCTCTGCACTGCTACAGCGAGTAGGTGTAGCTACCAGGAAGGCAGCTTGCTACATGCCATCTACCACACTGCGAAATTCCCTTCTCGCATCCTTCAGCCCCTAACATCGAAAGACGCAGAAGTGTGCTTGCCTGATCCAGGTTTCCCACACCTATTTACAGGGATCGGATGGACAAGCTCCATGTCGCTATAGATAGATTCACCCTAAAGGGATTTGTGAGTGAGGGCTTTGGCGGAGTCTTTTTATCAGCATTGCTCAGTGGCGGGCGGCTGAAGTTGCAGCACTCGTCTTTTGATGAGTTCCAGTCGAGCGAGCGGCTTGTTTCGGCAGTCAGCGTCAAGGCTACTATCTTTCATATCGAGCAGCAGAAGTGACTGCACAACTTCTTTTCGCGCGACTCTCTGAAAGATCTCAAACTTCTCACCATTTTGTGCAAGGGAATGAATCCGTTCGGAATGCCTGCCTTGCCATGGCGGCATGGTAGCGCACCGCAGCACCAATCTGCTTTTTGCCATCTATGGCTGTGTGGTCAGCCAGCTGCATTTGGCATTTGAAAGCGTGCTAGTTGCCGGCTCGACATTTCAGGCCCAAAGCACCACATCGTTCTTGTGGTGAAAGGTTTGGGCACCCATCTCGTGGTTGCATTTACGTGATGGTGTCCGAAGAGTTTGCAGGGAGCAAGAAGGCCGGCAATAATGTGGAGCATTGCGGAGCATCGTTTTTAAAGATGGAATTTGGATGCAGTCGTCGCATTGACGTCCGCTGAAGCTCTTCTGAGCAAAGCTTCTGGGGAGCATGTGACGCGGGCATATCTCCGCTTCAATTGTCATGGTCGGTATGGCAGAAAAAGCTCAGTACGATCTTCATGGAAACATGTGCAAGTGGTATTGAACAGCGGAATTTAAAAGTCTTCGCCTGCGCCACTGACGCGCCGTCTCACTAATGCCGTGCTGAATCCTCGAGCACAGAAGGCAGCACGGTGTTTTTATTGGGAACTGCCATAGGCCATAGTGCCAGTTGGTGCAAGGCAAGTCTAGAACTATTGCCAAAACCATCAGGTCTCAGAGAGATGGGTCTGTAAGTCATGAGTACAAGATTCTTGTTGCTTGCTTAGCTTGCCTCACGAAGCATTTATGATGCCAGACGCGTAGTCACGCCCTCAGTCCCAGTTTCCTGTTCGCATCATGTCCAAGCTTAGACAAATCCTTTGCAAAAGCCGAGTGGCTGTGCGTCCATCGCAGTTCAGACTTTTGAGCTTTCAGGGGCGACTCACATTTGCGCGCTGTGGGAGTGGTCTTGTGACCTCCCAGGTTGCGCATTTCAACATGAGGAGATCTTGTCTCCAAATTGAAGTGGAAATTGGATGTGCAGAGCTGCGGCTGGGGCAAGGGTAAGTCTAGAAATAGCGCCCTGCTACCCCGCAGTGTCCTTCTTACGGCCTTACGGCCCAGGGAGCATCAGGGCCCATCAAGGCCAACTGGCGAGTCCTATGCGTAATCATCAACATCAGGTAAAACAATGATTCAACGCCCATAAACGCAGTGAAGTAGGCCGTTATTCTACACTTTGGGTGTGCTACTAGTAATAGTCTGGGCACAGTATGAGACCAGAGCCCATTAATCGGCGTCAGGAATCACAATGCTTCCTGCTCCCGGGATGTCCATACCTCCAAATAGTACCCTGACTGACGCTGAAAGACACCTGAATCTCCTGCACGGGTTGACTACCCTAGATGCTGTTTGCTGCCGATGCTTTGAATGTATACGCGCATGCGTATGCAATTGTCTTTTATTGTGAGCAACTATGTCAGGAGTCTCAGACGAGCTGCGAGCCTCCCACCAAGCGTACATGCCAACGGCTTCAGGCAATCGAGCAAACCATGAAAAAGAACCTTGGCTGGGCCATGCGGACACGGGCTGGTGCATAGAGGCCGTGCTGAGAGTTCCCGACGGTGTCCGACCTCAAAATGCTCGAAACATCCTTTGCCTGCGCATTGGCTGGGGACTCAGCTGAGCTCCCGTGGAAGTGTTGCTGCAACAAGCAATAGCCTAATCTGACAGATGTTCTTCTGCTCGTTTGCATTCCAAACATCTCCAACCGAGAAGTGCTCAAAAGCCTCCGTCGGTACAGCAGCAAGCCATGTGTGAAGAGTTTCGTCGGCAACTGTTTGATCCTGAGTCGCTTGGTTTGCCCAGGGACTTCGTGTTGACCAGCTTCGCTGAGAGGAAGGGCTGAGGTTGCAAGGTGAAGCAGGAAAAGCTGACGGAGCTGCTGACAAACGTTGGAGACGGATCAATGCTGACGGAGGACTCGCCTGATGTTTCGCTTGTCCCAGTTGGAGCCCGTGGAGGGCAGACAGAGTGCATCTATTTGGCGAGCACCACTGACTTTTTTTCCCCAATCTCTCTGGACCCATACAGCCAGGGTCGCATTGCATGTGCAAATACCCTCTCAGATCTATACGCCATTGGTGCTCATCGTGTTGATACAATTCTTATGATCCTCTCGGTTTCAACAAGAATGGAGGAAAGCCACCGGGACATTGTGACTCGAAAGATGATTCAAGGTTTCAACGACGCCTGCAAAGAAGCTGGAACACGAGTCACTGGAGGTCAGACGGTATTCAACCCTTGGCCCATTATAGGTGGATGTGCCACCACCACCGTAACAGAGAGTGATCTTGTTCGAGCTGACAACTTGCAAGTGGGTGATGTTTTGGTTCTCACAAAGCCGTTGGGCTGTCAAGTTGCAGCGAATCTTGCACTGTGGCTCGGCGATCCATTCAAGTGGCAGAAGGCAAGCATGCTGATTGACGTTGACACGGCAGTCCGCGCTGTCAAGAAAGCAGAAGCAGGGATGATGCGTTTGAATCGCATGGCGGCCATGTTGATGTCACGCTATGGTGCCCATGGGGCCACGGATGTGACTGGTTTCGGTCTGATGGGCCACGCTTCAAACTTAGCCGCAGTACAGAAAAGCTGCGTAGTGTTGGAGATTGAGCTGCTGCCAATCATCAAAGGGCTGGCTGCTCTGGAAAGTGGTGTTGATGCCAACTACCAATTGACAAGGGGCTTCTCTGCTGAGACGTCTGGAGGGCTTCTTGTTGCGCTGCCAGGAAGAGCGGCGGCAGAGCAGTACATCGCTGCGCTTCAGGCACCCGAGGCAGATGGCCCAGACGCAGAAGCCTGGATCGTTGGACAGGCTCGGGAAGGGTAGAAAGTAGAGATTTGTAGAGCATAAGCATGAAAGAGTCACGGCGTAGAGCATGTGGAGGCAAACATGAGGAAGGGTTTACGCGTGGAGGCTCCCATTAATTAGCACGAGCGGGAGATACTTGTATCATGCCTTGTCCTACTCTGCCAGTGAACCCGGAAGGTGGTCGAAGGTGAGCGGACCGCACGGCTTAGTGAGAATTGTACAGTTCTCGAGGTTTAGTCCTGAAGTACTTTCTTGCAATTTCTAGTCGTTCCAGCTCTTGGCTTCGTTTCTTTAAGCATTGTCGTGCATGCGTGGGCGGGATTCATGAATGGTCGATTTGTGAATTGGCCCTGCCTGGTGGCCCTGCCTGGCCAATGAGTTCTCACCGACCTAGTGGACCTACGCATGTTTTCCCAGTGCTTTGTAAGCCGCTGAGCTTTGTTTCATCATGCCCATGTTATCGCTGGATGAAGCTCGAGACTTCCTCGAGGAACTGAGCGTTCAGCCGGGCAACTCAACGTGAAGAGCTTGACATGGATGCGTGAAACATGTGTTGCAGCAATCATGTTGAGTGTCAGTTTCCAGACTATGCTTGCGCATAGAGTCCATCACTGAAGGTCAGAAGCAGCTTCTGAGGCAGTTGGCAGAGCAGGCTGCTGACTGCTTTGCTGATGAGCCAAGCGAGATTGCTGAGATCAATGCGTGTGACGAGACCGGCTCAGATGCGGAAGAAGTGGACTGTGCGACATGTATTTCTGGAGACCCCTTCACGTGACGCCGCCTGACATTACTATGTCTGTCTGCAAGGTTGGTGAAGCATTGGCTCGGTATCTGCCATTCAATCTGCATGCAAACCTTGCTAAGTGCCAGGCCCATAGCAGCACAAAAGGCGTGATTTCCGGAAACGTTCAGCCGAAAAACCAGATGAACATTTAAAACAACAGATGCATGGTGTTATTTCTGGTATGAAGCTCTGAAAATGAGAAACAATGAAGGATCAGACAATAGATCGATGGTTTAAACTGCAGCATCATCCACAAGATTGCCCTCATGCAATGAGCAGGGGCAGAATTGCATCCATCTTCAGTTATGCATTTTAGGTTATGATGTCGTAGAGTTTTGAAAGGTATCCCGTCTATGCAAGCCCTGCAGCATAATTCAGACGTTACAGTGAGCATTGAAACCGAGCCCACCTTTACAAGCCTTGCTGGAAGCCTTGTACTGTGACATCGAAACCCAGAGTTGGTCACCCTCGACCCTCCCCGGCGAAGCTCTGAAAACCCAAGCCCAAAACCATGTAACCCCCTTCCGAACAGGGCCCCCAACAATTCAACTTCCTGGGTAAAGCGCTGCCTAACGTGGGACAGTGCTGCTGCGGCAAGGACAAGGCCAGCTGGGTTGACGGAATGCTAAAGCAGATTCTTGATGAATTTGCGGTCATCACACATTTTCAGGTAGTGCAGAGCGCTGAAACTCACAACAAGGCGAGGAACTCCTTCAGCGCACTACTTGCTTCCATCCTGAAGTGGGACATGCAGGAACATTTAGGGAAAAAGAAAATTTATCATGCCAGGGCTGGAATTCCGATTTCGAGGCAGGTCGTTGTATTCCTGGAGCCTGCCCAAGAGTGCAAAGCGTGCTTGCGAATCTACAAGGATGCTATTGAACGAGATGAAGAATCCTCCGATTCCCAGGCAGGTCTTCATGCTCCAGGGGTTTACCCCAAAAGCGCAAAGCATACTGGCAATTACTTGCGAATCTGCAGGAAGCAGTGCTAAGACCTCAGCATAAACAAACTCCAGCTTTGGCTACAGCCTAGGAGCAGCTCGGTAGCCTTGTTCATCACAACAACGTGCGCTTCAGCAGTGCTTCAGCAATCGATCGCTTGGCTTCGCCAGGGGCAAGCTCCTGAGAGGCGCATTTTTGGATATGGAACAGCGTGGCAACAAGGAAGATGGAGTCCGGAGCATGTTGCTGGTATTTGGCTGGGCTCATCATGTGAAGACATGAAGCAACCAAAACATTCAGGCACACCACAAAACCATCACTACCATCGCTGAATGTGTCCACTCTGGCATGTGTCTGAGGTCCCCGCAGCGCTTCCCACCTCAATTTCATATCTGCAAGATTTTGCATGCGCAATTGCAATTCGTAGGACTTTGCAGGTCCAACTGCACTCCGCCTTGCCGAGCTGCGACATAGCTGACAGCACACACTCAACCAGCGCGTCAACACTTGTGCATCACAGCGTTGGTTCACAGCGACAGTCTCAGCTGGGTCCCTGTCAGCGCGTGTTGTCGTTCCGCCCGCTTTCCCACCATGCAGCGCCACAAGTCCAGTCTTCGACAGCCACAATAAAGGAGAGCCAGGGAGAGAAGACAAGAACCAGGTGGCACAGCACAGCTTTAGATGCAGCCGACTCACGTCCACGTGCATCCAGCCTTGGGCCGTATGTCTACTGCGCCATGAAGTTGCTCCATAAAGAGTTCGAGAAGGCTCCAGCTGTGCCATGCTATGAATGTGCCTTCGGCGCAGCTTGTTGTCGATCAGTCACGTAGACAGCAATATGGCAATCTGCATGCCAATGACTCATTCGAAGTTTGTGTCCTGCAGCGCATCTGCACGGACGAGACCTGCAAATGCTTTGGAGAGACTTCTGTCAACATCAGAGCTGACAGCAGAGCACAGATCCAACATTGCCTCCACAGAATCTTTTCAGAATCAGCTGCCGAAACCGACATCCCAGCAGCTCTTGAGCTTCTGTGGCGTGAAAGAAGGCATTTCGGGACATGAGCCAAGAGAGGGCCTGCGACAAATGCGATGGAGCTGTTCCCATCCCTTGGTTGCAGCATCAGCTCCCATGCAGGCAAGCGTGCATTAGTGGATTTGCACATGTACTGATTAAAGCAAAGCCGATCGAATGTTGAAGTCGTAGCAGCCTGCCAGGACTGCACTCTTGCCTCCCGCATCCGCGGCGCTGTGATGCAGGCCATCAGTCTAGGCATGTTCGCTCCTTAGCCCAGACAGTCTTCACTGTTGGAGGTTGTTGAGGCTGAATGCTGAGGCCACTGCTCTATGCTTGCTAGCTGCACAAGCAGGCGCTCTGTGCTGTAGAAGGTGGCAACCGCTGCTGCAGCATAAGCAAACTTTTGGGTGATATTCCATCTTGGAAGCCTTGGAATCGAGGGCCGATGCACTCTGTGAACAAAATATTCTGCACGTAAGGCATTCGAGTTGGAAGACGTCAAGCAAGTGCCCTGGAAGGCATTCAGGGGCGCAATGGGCGCACAGCGCTTTTCGCTACAGTCTTGAAGTCATGACAGAAATTGAGCTTCTGTCTCTTTGTGCGCTTACTGCCTTTTTATCTAAGTGCGGAAGTAAGCCGGGGCTGTCGCACTCAAAAGTGCACGAACCTGTGCGCGTGAGAGCGGAGAAGGATCTCCTCCGCATAAGCTCCGGCGTGCCATTGCGTTAACCAGGACATACATTCGATGCATCTTTTAAGTTCCCAGCTCTTTCGCGGACGCATTCTCTACACATTTCTCCGAAAACATGCCACAGAAGTGCTCACGCAAGCTTGTTCAAAAAATGTTGTCGCAGAAGGTAAAACCCAACACGCGCAGAAGAGCACAGAAGGGTCTCGCGGAACGGTATCCGTACTTCTCAATGGACAATATTGGAGTGGGATGCATACGTTCCTCGCGCAGTCTGCCCTGGCCCATATCTCAACTTCGCATATGCCATCATATTTGCTGTCACAAGTCCTATCTTGACTGAGCCGTCAAGTCTTTGGTGTATCACTTTGCTGTAATTGCAGTATTTCAGATCTGATCTAGCTGATTCCACGTCTGCTACGTGCATCATTTTTCTGGCCATCCTCTACTTGGCCCTATCTTGGAAGACTTGCCAAGAAAATAAGCGCTAAAAGCATCGTCAAGAAAGAGAAGAGTCAACATGTCACGTCCAAGAAGTGTGCAGCTGATACTCGGACGAGATCCTGCTGTACTGACTGTCCGGCTCAACTAGAACCGTTGATTCCAGTAGCTGCACAACTTTTTGATCTCGAGCAGTTTATGGGGTAAGCTGCTGGAGGATTGATGCTTGCGACATTTGGTAGGACTTTTTGAGATGTTCGCAGATATGCTCGCTGTGCGAGGCGGGGACTCCGACGCCAAGCAGGCCGGAAGCCATCACATCCATCACATAGGTTCCTTACAGTGCTTCGAGCTGAGGCTTTTTGAGCACTAGCAAGGTCTTTCAGATCCGAACCGAACTTAGGCATTTGCCAACAGATAAGGGAGGCGAGCATTGAGTCATCCCCTTCGGTTTGAAGAGCCGTGTTGGTTTCTTGCCTTGTCACCCGTGACGTGAGCCACAGGATGAGGCCGCATACTTAAAAGACGAGGGTCTTTGACGCCTGCAGCTTTGAGTGTTTTCCATTTGTTGCAAGCCGGAAAGCTGCAACCAACTGTATTCTACTGACAAAAAGCAGGCTGAAGTCAGAGTGTCCAACCTACGAGTTAGAGCCAGGATGCTTCGCTTCGGCCCTGTATTCTCCGCACATGTTTGATTGCCAGGTGCTCCGTGGGACAGCCTCTTCGGGAACACGCAGAAGATTGTTCTACCTAACAGCACGAGAGAGGTGCAAACATGGATCTGACTAGGTCAGCGTTTAGCAAGGTTGCAGCATTTGTGCTGCTTGCTCCCTCCTCTGAAGGTTCTCGACCAGCTGAAATCCAGCAGTCGGCCCAGTTTTTGTGACTTTTAACAGAGGAATGCCAGCTCTGGAGCGCAATCGAAATACAGGCATGAGCATTCTGGTCAAATCCGGTCTGCCCCGAGCTGATGTGGATTTGCCAGTCGCTCGGCGGCGGATTAGGGAGAGTTGCACTGCAGAAGGCCACGTAGGCAATGTATGGCAATGTAGCAGTAGCTTGTTAGCTTGTGGATGCCTGTGGAGACCTGTGGCAGGCAGGCCTCCGGCTGGGCCTGGAGAACGTTATGGACTCTTTGCAGATAAGTCGTTCGTGTACTGAGTAGAGGCAGGACACACGACTCTAGTCATCTGGAAAGGAAGCAACTAAGAAGCCAGTCCCGAACAAGAAAGACCAGCTTGATGTGTGCTGCAGCAGGACCCACTTATCCAGCCTGCCGCAGAGCCATCCAAAGAGCAAGTGCTACAGGAGCGACCAGCCTCTTGAATGTGATTCTGTCTAGCAGCCTAGCCTCCTCCACAGAACGCCAGGCGGACCGCGAACTGGCTCGAATTTTCCTTGCCATGTTCAAGGTGCATTTCGTGCTTCCCTTGTCACAATTTGCGATCCCCTTGTCAGTGGACAGGTGGTCAAAGATAAGTTGAGCATTGTCTTCCGCACTAACAAGCAAGCTGCCACTGCGAAGAAGCTCTGGGGCGACGTAGTTGGCAGCCAGGTTTAATTCGGTTCAGGCGAAGCATGTCACTACATGTCACTACACTATATTGAGGTCTTGAAGGTTTTGCACGCAAGGCTGGAGTATCTGCACTGTAGCAGCAGAAGCGTTGATGTTACCAACGCCCTCGTGTCAGTAGCTTCGTCAGCGCTTTTCTTTGATCGTGAAGATCACCAAGTCTCTTTGTATTTCAAGGCAGCGCTCGCATTGTGTGCATGCCGAAGGGCACTATGCTCAGTGTCGCTAGCTTTCTATCCCCCTTCTGAGCCACGATGGGGAAAGTGCTTTTACCACGAGGTGGCGTGCAAAAAACGGCTTTCTCCAGCTCTGATGAAGGCCGGCTTTGGCCTTGCTGCAGCAGTTTTTCATTCACCAATTTCTTGGGGAGGCGAGATCAGCAATGCCTTCGTTGAATCTGTGAAGGCCAAAGCGAGAAGTTGAAGCTATGTGCTTGCGCAATGCCAGCTGCTGCAGGGCATGCGTGGCGGCTTTGTAGTTGTCGTAGCTCCACGAAGACCGCAGCTGGAAGCTGTGGCGCGTGCCGCTGAAGAGGCAGCAACTTTTTGGATTGGCCTTTGTCCTGATCAATGTTTGTGATGAGCTGCTCGAAGGTCAGCACGTTTGAGCAACCTGTAGGCTTCCGTCAGCGCGTGCAGTAGATCACACAAAGGCGTCCGAGACGGACTCTGAAACCCAGACAAAGCAGCATATCAGCAGCGGGGCTACGCACACAAGGCGAGAGCGAGCACCCTTGAAGACAATCTCCGGAAACACATTTGTGGTATTTTGTGTTGCAATCCCAACCAGATACCTGCGGCCAACAATGCTTTTTCAAGATTCACACTGCACAGTAGAAGTGACTTCACACCATGCGACTTGGCATGACTTCCATGTTTCTTTCAGTCAGAAACATGCAGATGTTGGAAATAGAGATCTGCTTGCTTCCAATGTTGTACAGGGTTAATTCTACAAGATGCGTTGTGAACACCTTAGGGACAAATTAAGGACGTGTGTGGACAGGTTGATAGCAAGACGGGCTTCATTCTGCTGAATGCTCGTCTACGCGGGGCTCGGAAGGATCAACTGCGCGAGGCCATGAGTTTAATGAAGGTTGTGAAGGTTGGGTCACAAGCATGAGATGCGTTAGCAAGGCATGCAGCCTGCCAAATCTTGCATGTACTGCCAGGGTCAAGTCGCTAGCGTCTGGTCAGGAGGTCTCTGCGGGCTTCAATGCGGCTTTCCATCTTCGGCTTTGCGGGAGCAACGGGCAGGGCTTAGTGTACCGAGCTTTGCAGGCTGGACACACGTGAGAAATGCTGACAAACTCATGGACGCCTGAGACGGAAATTGCTAGGATGGCAGTTCGCCTTGGGTTCTGGTCGTGAGCTTAGCAGTGCAGGGCACAAGGCTTTGGATTCCCATATCTCCGCTCGAAACTTTGAATTGACGGTGCCCATCCCGCAGCTTGAAAATGCTCTCTGAAAGCAGCTTGACCATGAAGGAGGAATTGATGGCGTGTGAACAGCACCAGAATGGGCGCATGAAAAGGTTGTGCTGTTCTTGATGCATCTGTCGAGTCATCTGAGGCCCGGCGGAACCTTCCAAGCACCATTGCAAAGGAGGTTCCACTTCTTAGACAGTTTGGAGGTCATCGTGCATTTTGATGGCATCTTCCTCGTAATCCTACTAGTGGATCATTACGTGCCCTGTGATGAATAATGTCAGAAACAACTTTCTGATTTGCGGCATGCTATTTATAGTCTCGGCTTGTGTTCACCATGGACCGCAGACGGGCGCAATGCAGCGGGGGTTTCGGTTCTGAATGGCCCTTCTTGATGATGCTGCTGATGATGATGATGATGATGATTCTGATTCTGATTGCCCGACCCAGGCCAAGGCAGCGCGCGCTACAAGTAGCGTCAATATGCGTCAATAATATGAGTGGCAGCGATCATGCACAACGAAGTTGGACAATGCTTTTTGGAAGCAGATTCCGAGCATGAGTTGCCACTAGGCAGCCTGTTTTCAGTGAACATGCATCTAAGTGTTGAACGCACTCACAGATTTCATTCAGGAGCAGGGCAAAAGGTGCGTATCAGTGCGTTAAACACAACATGGGTGGAAGAGCAAGCTGCAGGGCGGAAAGTTATTGCAACCATATTCATGCCAAAGAGCAGGTTGCGCGAAGCTTCGACGAGCCCTCTGAGGAGCGAATCAACGAGCTTTTTGCGGACTAGGCATGGATTTGTTTCAGAGTCAGCCATCTAGCTGCTGCAAAGCAGTGTGTGTGCTGGACAAGGTCTGACAAACCGCCAACTTGGATTGATGACAGCTTCCGACCGAATGAGCATTCTGCTTGAGCGCCTCAAAGACAGGTCAGGCCGAATGGATATTAGCGGCACAAGCTCTAGCAGTGCTGCAGGTCAATATGGAAGCTGCCCGCCCGCGATCAGAAAAGGTGACGCTCCTCTCACATGAAACCTCCCAAGTGGCTCTTTGTTCAGTGCAATCTTAACCTTAGCAGCTCATTAGTGTACTCAGAGCTGTTTGATCGCTCTCAGACTCGAACTGCTCCACCTGCCAGGATGGCAAGGGCCTTGCCACCCTCATTCCAGAGGACAGCCTGGGGCGAGAGCTGCATTAACAAAAAACAAACAGTGTCTTTGTCAGGAGTCCGAGGACCTCTGGCATCTCTTCAACCTCAGCATGTCTGACTCCAAGCTGGCCTTCATAGATCTGCCATGTTCGCTTTAGAGCCACCATATGCTCAGCCACCATATGCTCAGGAAAGGGGATACGATCAAGGCCATGACCTACCGCAAGGCTTTCTCTTCGCCAAAACCGCTTTGCATCTTAAGTGTCTTAGTCGGTGTTCTACCCTATTGTGTGTCCTCAAACCGATAATATATATATATATATGTATAAATAAGCATAGGATGAATTGTGACCCAATTCTGCAAGTTGGCATGTTGAGCAAACAAATTGACATAGTTCAACACACAACACCCAGATTCAAGTCTTCACCAGTGGAAGCGGTTGGGGGTCCAAGGACTTGGCCGCCAACAGATGCAATCATTGTAGTTTGGACCTAGCAGAATGGCAAGAGGTTGTCAAGAAAGATTTAAGGCCTGTCAATGCTGGGTTGTATTCACAAGCGCAGATTTCGAACAGTGCTCCAACTCTTGGCGGCATTGAGGCATGCTCTCTACTGACACAAGGATGTAAACCGCATCTATCCAATCGATTTAAAAGCTGAGCTCGTTTCATGAGACAGCAATTGTATTGAGGGTTTCGAATTGACTTGAATTTGCCAGCGTGATGACCACAGCCATGGCAGAGTCAACTTCGAAGCGCCTAGTTGGGCTAGATGTGATGCGGGGCATCACTATGGACTTTGCCTTAGTTTGTGCTGACTGCATGGCCTTTGCCAGCTGCGCAGCCCGCCGGCTCAGGCCGTAATGCTGGTCGTGGATGTTGCGGGCGATGCATATCCTCGCATAGGACATGCGTCCTGGGACGGCTTACATCTCGCAGATTTCGTGATGCCCTACTTCTTGTTCATTTGTGGCGTCAGTGCCGCCCTTTCTCCCGCACCTCAGTTGCAGTTGAACTTGTGAATTTGGACATGACATTGCACACGAGAAGGATGGAGACATGTTAGGCTGTAAAGTTCCGATGTTGAGGCAGATATTGTGTGATGTGTGGCTGCTACTGTCACTGAGGTCTTGCCAGAGCAGCGAGTGGCATGTCCATAAGAGCAAAGTTTAATTCTGTGTTTGGTTTTAAAGCACTTGATGCCGCAACTGCTGGTCTTTTCTTATCTTCGAGCAAATGGGTCTCAGGCTTCAGTGGCTGGCCGAGCTCTGATGCGATCCTTGCGACTCTTCGTGCTGGGCACGCAGCTCATTCCATGCTGTCTACTTCTGCGGGGCGCCAGTGCTGGCAGCATGCAGCTGTGGAGGTATTGCAGTACAAGGCAGCATCTTTCACCTGACGGAGGCAGCGTGTTGCAGCTTACCAACGGTGAATCCATCAAATTGTTTCATGTGATTAGCCGCATTCATTTTCGGAAGAGAGTGGAAGGCCAGGCGCGGTGGCATTTTTGCATCTGGGTTCAGCGTTCCTCCGCGAACTGGATCGGGGTTGTGGATTGAACGGGATAGGCCGCAGTTTCCTTTGCAATTAGAGCCCAGTATGTACTCCATCATGGCGAACAAGATCAGGTGATTTCGTTAAGGTACAGTACAAGACATTACAAGACTGAATGTAAGTAAGGCGAACGAGATGAGCGGACGTGGAAGAAATATGCCGCATAAGGCCCAGCTAATAAATGTAATACATGAAAGCCGGCGCTCATGTGGCGCTGCCTGCAATTGTGATCATGTTCATGAATGTCCACGATGCTATTGCAAACTCCACCAATAGCTTTCTGTAGCCACGAGGCAGGTCCTACTTTGGTTCTTGACCTGGCCACGTTCCGAGTGATGGGCATACTGCAGTACATGGCCCAGGAGCAGTGGATTTGACAGCGCAAGCATGGACAGATTTCTTGTCAGATGTTTTTAAGCGAGGTACTCGTAGCAGGATTGCTCTCGCAATGCAAGGGAAGAAGGGCCTCCTTTTGCCAAGGCGAATTGCAATCGCTTTTCTGACAGCAGCTCGGCCACACCTGGCGGATTTCGAAGAAGCTTTGAGGGTGTGCTTCAGTCCCAAAGCAATACTTCTCATTGGGGTCTCTCTGGTACTTCGCAGACAGACTGCCAGGTCGTGGTCGTCTCTTTGTATGTTCCTGCTGGCTCTGGGCGTTCAGCACATGGTACGGAGTTACTGTTTGATCCTGGGCGGCAAGGCTGGCTGAGAGGGGTCAAGCCATTGCTTGTGCTGCGGCACCATGCACCCGCAGAACAGCTGCGCAGGCCGCTCGCTTGGTTGCGCAATCTTCCTGGAATCAGGATGGCAGTGGCTGGTGGCCTGGCCTGGATGCTTCATTATCGTGTAGGAGCCAAGGTCAGGCAGATGCAAGACTATCCAGACATGAGCAAACGAAGCCTGAGTAAAACGATAGGCGCCCCCCAAAGGCGATACCCCGATGCCATTCACAAAGAAAAGATGCGGGGCATGAAGGCAAGGGATCTGGCAAAATGCGATAAAACGATAGGTCTGAACACTGCAGTGTGCCAAAGCCTGCAAAACTACAGTCCCCCTAAAAAAGTGATACCCTTGTTTTTGTATTCAGCTGTCTATAAGTAATGTGCACAGCTGCTCACATGAGCAATAGTCAAAACCTCGTATTTGGGACTTTGACAAGGCAGGAAAGGGATTACCGTGAGCAGCTGGAATCTGCACAACGCCACCAAAAGCGCGGAGGACAAACGTGGTAGGGAACCCGCAAAAGCAGTCCCCCCACCGAATCTTGTTGCGTATGCAAGTCGCATTTGATGTTCATGAATCTCGTGAAGTAAAGCATGGTAAAGCCACACCATCATACTATTCACATAGCACAACAGGCCATGAAAGCGATAGGAGCCCTCCAAACTGATCTGTGGCGCTGGATGGATGACACATGGAGGCTTGGTAAACGCTCGCGTGATTTATTTCATCTGCCGCTTGAAAATGCTTGGATTCTCCTATGCTGAACGCATGGAAAATCAAAAGGGATCTGCTTTTTTGATCATTGCTTGAGGTTTGACAGCAGGCCCTTGCCACCTTGCGAGCATTGACCGTGCACGCAGCAATGAAGGATGATGAGAGACTTGCATTACGTCTCTGCAAATGCAAACCACATCCGTTCTAAGTCGCTTATCTCGACGGTACTGCAGACACCCATGAACCAGCACAGTTGTTTTCGCAAATGCGCAGTGATGGGAATTACAAGTTTAATTCGTCTGAGGTCATCCTCGCTTTGGTCGGGATTGGTGCTTTGCTCACCTATGCCGTGAAACTGGTTAGCTGTTTAGGAACTTAATGTAAGGTACTCTATTGAGGAAACCCTATTATTTACAATATATACCCATTATGGTTACTTAATTTAAGTTCAGCCTCAAATCGCCATATTACACCAGTTTCTATTTCGTTGTCCGTTTTCTTTTCCATTTAATTCTCCAGTATAGGAGGATGATAGAGCAACTTAATTTCTTAACAGCAAGCCTTAACACTAAACCCTAAATGGTAGTTTTCATGTGATTTTCCATTCTCCCTATATAACCCCTATATTATGGCAACTTAATCCAAGCTCCTTAACAGCAACTCAGGAAACCCCCAGCTTCCTGGCCGGCCTGCTCTGGTTCCGTCTTTGGACCTGGTGACCCGCTTATTTTGCAGGAGAGCCTCGCTCTAGATGGCAAATACAAAGGCTCACACATTTACACTACAATTCTATTAGATTTATACTCTAATATGCTATAGACTATGATCTTTTGTAATATAGTATCATTTCGTATAGCATCCCTGACAACTTCTTCCCGTCTCATCCCATGTCATGACTGCTTTGGAACCTGGCTCAGGATGGGATGTAGCGGCGTTGGCTGGTTGGACAGCCTCATTCTGGGCATCAATCACCTGTACATTACGGGGAACAACGTGGGACCTACTGCTACCGCAAGTTTCGGCTTTGATCCTGAGGCCGCAGCTGCAGAAGTATTTCACTTAAAGAACACTGTGGAAGCGGAGCGTGTTCCCTGCAGGGCCTGGTGACCACCTTGAGCGCAATCTTCCCTATGTTTTTGGGCGTTCACATCGGACGTGTCTGGAGGCTTCTCAGGTCCTCAGAAGAGGTCATGGCACATTGGGCAAGCTTGGCAGCAATTTGCACGGCAGCAGGGGCTTGTATCTCGCTTTGGCTGCCGTTCAACAAGCGTCTCTGGTCTCCTTCGTACAGCCTCTTTACCTCCGGCACTGCAATCTTTCTGTGACTGAAATCAATTGGCTCTCCACGTTTGCCTTCGTTTCTTGAGGATCGGGACAGTTCGAAGGAAAGGGTTGCTTGAACTGGCTGTAGGGCTTTGGAAAGAACCGTGCAACTCGTGATTCACTGCGTGTTTCTACCTCGCCCACAAGGCGAATTGGGCCGCATTTTCATTTGTTGGTTTGCGGTGCTGCCAAAGGGTGGGAGCTTTGAACTTTTTCATCGGAGTCTCTGAGTCTCCTTCCTTCTTTTGCTGCACGGCTACCAGAATTTCATCCCAAGCGAGTCGATTCTTCTTCATAACTAGGCAGATCTTTTGCGGTCTGGACTGCGCGTGAAGGTGCAGGAGTTCGCCATCACGCAACAGATAAGCCAAACATGATCGTCACCAGACCAAGTCCCAGGTCATGACACAATGCGTGCACGCACATCTTTCTGGTGCTTCTTTTTGACAAAGCCGCACGCATGAACTAAAGCTGGGCTTTAAGATGGTGAAGGTGCATGTTTCCTCCTTTGCAAGACCTCGAGGTACATGTTGCTCTACTTTCTATGCGACGTCTTGGCTTCTTCCACGACGCCGGGTGGCCGAGCAGCCAGCTGCTTCAAGTGCATTGTTTCTCCGATGCAGTGGACTCCAGGTCGCACTTAGCCGGCGGGCACGCTGTGTCACAGAATTTCAGCATTTCCGGCAGCATCTGTTTCTTTGCTTGCGCTGTTTTATATCGGGTTCGGACCAGTCTTGTTGTCATCTTAAAGGGGAAGGAGGAGCGCTACTGAGAAGGCGAAGAGAAGTGCATAGCAAGACAGCAGGAGAAGGTAATTGGAGGACAACGACATTGAACGTATGAAATACAAACCATTCCAGGGACAGAGCAGATGAAGAGCGATTGAGCACGCACACCATGGCGAAACTCATTTGGCACTGACAACTAGCCCTAAACTCTCCTGAACCTTAGGCTCTGAGGCCCAAATCGGAACAAGCCACTAGGCATCCTGTGAAGCTTCGTATGCTCTCACTCTCTTCCTTGTTCTTCTCCACGGGGGGACCTTGGCATGAGCTTGGATGATTCTTCGAATATTGCCATCTTGTCCGCAATGTTTGCAGCTTAGAAGCCTCTTACACCATCTTCATCTGCAACCTCTGACAGATCTCGGAGTGAAATAGCTTACAGTAATTTCCCGTCCTTTCGTCCTTTCAAGAGGTTCAAATGCTGTAATTGCATTACAGGATCTGCAACCTGAGAAGACAACCAAATGCTGCAGTTTACAGTATTGGCATTATTTTGGAGGTGCAATGCTATCAGTTTCAATGGCACCAGCGGAAAACCCAACAATGCTACCTGCAGACGCTTCAGTTTGATATCGGCTCATCTAAGGGGTTTACACAGCAGAGGTGTTCGTTTTTAAGCTTAACCCTGCCCTTTTTTGCTTGACGTCGGCGTTTTCATCTCTGCACACTTCAGTACAGTAATTTGCAGCATTTGGAGCTTCTCAAAAGCTGCCGGCATGGTGAATTACGATGGAAACCATATGTTGGAGGAAGGCGCCTGGATTTCTGGGCCATTTGTGAAGGGATTGATGGCTCGTTGTCTTAGCGATGCGATTAGCGAATATGACAGCTATTGACGAGCATCATGAGCTCCCCAATCTTGCCAGGTGCGGTGAGATTACTCAAAACTCTAAAACACCCTCTAACCGATACCACTGCCTCGGGGGGCGATATAGGGGACTATATTATAGGGGACTATTGTAGGGGCTATTAAGGGGGATACTAGGAGTTTAGATTCTACCTCATATGAATGTGGTGCTCGCCTGCTTGCCGAAAAATCACACGGAGCACCCCTTCTCATGGATCATGTTTCCAACTGGAATATCTGGAACTCAATTCATTGCTATTTGGAACTACGTGCGCACACGGCAGTTTTTCGGTGCACACTTGCAGTCATCAGTGCAAACTGGCATCTGATGTTCACCGAGGCTTGGATCCAACTGCCTCTTGGCGTTCTGAATCGTGTTGCTGCGCAACATGTCCGTCCATGTAGGTATGCGCTTGCCATGAATGTGAGGGATGGTTGCTGGTGGATTCTGAGGTATTGTCTTCTTTGTCCTATCAGACTGCTGCGGTGTATTCTCCTGGTTCCTGCAATGTATTGCGTGGGCTCAACCGGCAAGTGAACACAATGTGGTGCACTGGTTCCGAAGACAAGTTCTGTGGTCGCTGGACATAAATAAAGCCGAACACTGTTCATTTCCTGTTCAGTTACGGCCAATAAGAAGCAAGAAGTTCTGATTCAGGAAGGCGTTCAGCTGCGATGCCTCACCGTGCGGGCCAGCCGACTTGGCAGATGCTCTCGCCGGTCTGGCTTTCTGGGTGATGGCCCCATGTTTGCGGTCTCGGCTTTAGCCTGCTTCAGCTTGTTTGGCTCAGGTCTTGGTCTGCGGCTTTCTGTTCCGTGCCTTGGCAGCAGTCTGGAATCGTGGTCAGTCCAAGGCTGCAGAGGCATGTCCTGCCTGCGCAGCATGAGGCAGAGGCATCTTTTGGAAGATATGAGCATCTGCTGGAAGTGCGATGGCGATGCTGAGATTTGTGTCCTCTTTCAAGTCGAGCGGTAGTGCGTAAAAGGCCTTGCAATGTTCAGGCACTGTTGAGGCGATAATTCTGCATTGGAGTTGACAGTGCTCATCACGTCTGTACTCTTCGCCCGATGCATACGGCACATCACAGTGTCCGTATTGAATTCCTGCCGCCTGGGGTGCAAGTGGAGATTGAGCTTCAAGGTGCGTTGGCATGCAGCGGACGTGAGGCTGTGGACACGGAGACCTTATTTCGACAGGCTTCCAAAGTCTTGCAGAGTGGGAAGCGGTGCATGACAGACAGCCACGCGTTCATCGAATGCTGAGTCAGCGGACCAGCGACACCGCGACTCTAGTTGCATGTGTTCCCTTGCTCCCTTCTGCAGCACCGGAAAGCTTCGAGTGCGACGCCTTGAGAGACGCGGCTGCTTGAGCCGCACGCCCTCCGCATCGCGCGAGACAGACAAAAGGCTTTTGTGAGCTTGCGCCAGCTTGCGTGCAACATCTCTTCAGCATCGCGGCAAGCATCGAGGCATTGACTAGCTTGCCTGTGCTCAGATCCAGAAGGAAGGCAGCACTGGCACTGTGCAAACGGAAGTGCGAAAGAGACTCGGCTGGCATCATCTCCAAATTAATTACTTGAGGCACAGATAGAATACCTCTGGACCAGTATGAGCCAGCAGCGTGCAGCTTGCATGTTATTGATCTCGAATGGCAAGGCCAATGGGCTTGCTCGATGCTAGCTTCTCACACTAATTAAGGATACAGATGACCGTGGAGGCTCCTCTGGATTGAGTGTCAGAAGTGACCCAGGGCTTTGCTGCTCACATGATCTGATCTGATCTTAGATAGCAAGTGACCCCAAGCTCGGCCATTGCATGCTTATGTGGCATAGTCCGGTATTGGCACAGTCATGCAGGTCAAATCTATCGAATACGATGCTGCGGGAAACTGTATACGGTATTCTGGCAAGAACTGCGAGGACGCGGCTTTCATGCAACCAGAATGTGACAGTCTCAATTTTCGGATGCATGTTTTCAGAGTTTTTCTTGCCATTGCTGAAGTTGGCTTCCCTGCAGCATTTGAGCGATCACAAATGATCGCAGCAAGTGGGTGTGCACAACGTGCACCATTCAGACCGCCAGCTGCGTAATGGCAGCGCTTCCTCATTTCCACTGCGGGACCACCCTTGCCAAGCTGCCATGCAGAGTAAGCTGGAACGGACTGTGCTTTTGGTCATGGGAAAATCTCTGTCGCAAGCGGAGACCGCTGATGTACTCGAAGAGAAGATGGAATCCTGGAACTTGGTCTGCGCTGGCATTACATAGCTTTTAAGGTGTCAGCGAACAATTTATGTGCGTTATGATTGGATCCTTAACCCTGCGGTATCGGCAGACTATTTACAGGACTGCAGTAACTAGTATCTACATACAGGTTGTTCATGGATGTCTGTTTTTGGTACGACTTTTTGGCTCAGAAAAAATAATTTGACAGGTTGTCGTTTTTTCTCTTCGTCAAAGTGCTTTGCAAGGGCCGCCTTGCAGAGTTATGCGAACTTCTACTTTAAGACATGCTGAAACTGCTTCTATTCTAAGAGCGGCCTTGGAAATCACAGCGACCGAATGAACGAAGCACTGACGTGGCAGGCATCACATTCCGCAATTTGCAACCTCCTTTCTCAAAGCACTTGCGAGAAGATCTTTGCATATGCTAGCTGGCGACGTTCTATCCCTCATGACACGCCGCACCGTCGCGGCTTGGTGGCATAGATGGCCAATTGCTGTAGGCAGAAGCAGACCCAGCAGCGATGTGGCTGTGATTCCATGATTGACAGCTGGACTCCAATCTGTAGCTGCATGAGAAGCTGGCTGCAAGCAGCTGTAAGCAGTGCGGCTGTCAGGAAGTGAACGTGATTCATTGCAATGTGGTCCTCAATGCGTGCGACAGGGCTGGATCATGGCGGAGTGCTGCCAGACTTCTGGATGCCATGAAAGGAATGCGCTTGACACTTATCTAGCTATTGATACGGGATCTGTGCACACGGCGTTTCCAGGCCTTACTGTCTGTGTATTGTTTGCAGCGCTGTCGCAATGACAACAAGCTCAGGACACCAGATCTGCTTAGCTACACATCTACTGTTTCCTCATTTTCCAAGGACCCTTCTTACCAGTGACCAGGGTTGTAAAGCCGCAGAAGCTTGTGGCTTGAAATTTGCAAAAAGCCATTCAGAAGGATGCGCCGTGGGCCAAAGCACTACAGCTTGAGTGTGATTGCCGCCGACGGAGAATCAGGATCCTCCTCCGGATTTGGATGCTCAGAACACTTGCGGGACCGTGTCAGTATGGGTCAGTTTTTGTGTTGTCAGGATGGATGGAACTCTGTGCAACGCCTTTTTGGCCGCATCACCATGGTCGAGGTCTTTGGAAATGTGGCCGTGCATGGCAGAGTCCATGCTCAGGCACGGGATGCAGGCGTCATACGAATAGCGTCCTCTAGCCATGGGTGACGTGCGCCAGGCCAAGCGCCAGAAGCTACAGCGCGGCAATCTCTACTCTGGGCTCATGGGAACGGGTTTGCGCTGTGATTCGCAACATGCAGGCCTCTGCTTTCAGAAAAGTTACGAGTCCTAATCTCCTGTCCGTGCACTTGTGCAGGTTTGGTCAACTGAGCCAGATCGTATCATGTACAACCACTTGATGACCTCCCAGGATTCCACGTGGCGCTTGGCGATCGCAGGTCTGCATGAGATGAGCGCTGGCATGGTCTGTCCAGATGAAGTGAACATAAAGTCCGTGGTGTCAGTCACTGCGTCTCAGAGCAGATGGCCTGTGTCTCTGCATGTGCAGAAGACGCAGAAGCGAGAACGAGGCGTGCATGCCCCCGACCATTCGCTGGGCATAAGCAACGAGATGAGCTGGAAGCATGCCCTGGCAGTCTTCTATGATTTGGGAAAAGCTTCTATCAGGCTTGAACAGACCTCGGTGAACACAGTTGTCAACGCCTGCAGAAGCACTGATGCCTGGAAGTTTGCTTTGTACCTGCTCCGAGAGCGATGTGATCTTATTGGCTTCAACAGTGCATTGAGTTGCACCCAGAAGTCCAGTCTTTGGACGGCTGTTCTTCAAATGGTAAACAATGCCTCAACCGCAAGACTGTTCCCAGATGACTACACGGCAAGCACTCTGTTACATGCTTGTGAACAGCGCTGGCAGCTTGCCCTTTGTTTTGTTGACTGGCCTTCACCGAATCCGAGTTTGATTTCTGTGAACGCTGCAATCGATGCTTGTGCAACTGCGTTGCAGTGGCAAGCTTCACTGCAACTTTTTGACAATATGACGCGGTGGAGGTATCTTCGGGAGCATGGGATGTCGGGGTCATCAGAGGGTTGTTGTGATTTTCAACAGCATGCGTTGATGCGTGTAGAGTTGTCTGTAGGCTGAAGCCGGATCGCTACACCTGTAGCTCCCTGATCAATGCCTGTGGACCTGGCCAATGGCAAGTTGCCTTGGCCTTCCTGGCGGAACGGCAAGGGGATATCGATATGGTGAGCCCATGGCTTGCAACAATTGCGAAAGTTGCTTGCAAGACGGTATCCAGTACTGTCACAGGCCTAGCAGCCATTTGAGCTCTGGCGCATCCTGGAATATGCCTAGATCAGACTAAAGTATTCAAAAGCTGCACCCCTCACTTGCTGCTGCAAGGCAGCAACATGTGCCTGCTGATGAGGTTACAGCACCGGGATGAAGGCTTGTGCTGATTCAACGCAGTGGCAGTTGGCACTCGAGTTGCTGTGGGTCGCAATGCTGCCATAGTCTGCATGTTTGGTTCCTTTACATAGACAGCCCTCAAAAAAACCTTTTATCATGGGGGCTGCGCCATTCTTGATCCTGCAAAGATTGTACGCTATTCTTGACCCCAGGACATGACTCGGGTGCGGATTGCTCCGAATGAAGTTGCATGCAACGCCGTGTCAAGTGGCTTCGAGAAAGGCCTGCTGCTGACAATCATTGCAACACGTCGGACAGCCATGGACAGCCTGACCATGCCTGGCCCTATGCAGGAAGCCTTTGGCATGCGGCGGCAAACGTTTTGGTGTCTATGCGTCATCTCCGCATGAATCCGGATCGCGTGAGCTACAATATCGTTGTCTCTGCTGCTCAGAAGGCAGGAGGTCTGATCACGTGTGCAGGCGGTAGTGCAATGCAATGCAGGAGGACGGTATGAAGCTGTAGAGCCGTCAGGCACCTTGCTAGCTTAACGCTCAGGCAAGACGCTGGAGGCTATCCTGTTGCATTCTGCAGAGTGTATGCCGGGAACCCAAGCGTACAAGGCTTGGTCCTGATCTGTTTCACGTGCCCTCCCAGGCAATGCACGTTTGACGCCGGATACAGTTTCCTTCGACACGTCTGTGCTGGCTTGCTCTGAGTCCTCGTGCTGGGAGCTGGGTTTGGTCCTTGTGCAGAAGCAGTGCAACCCAAGCGCCGACTGCTACGCTGCAGTCCTTATGGCATGTGGCACGGTTCATTTGCCCACCGTTGCAGCTACCCTGCTTGGTGAGCTGAATTTTGCAATTGGATCATTGCAGGGAGTGCGACAAAAGAATGCTGCTTGGTGCCTGGTGGCCTAGCTTCCTCATTGTTTGCAGGTGCGGCTCGCCCTAACAGTTAGCTCAACTCCTTCACTCAGCCCTTTCGTCAGAAGTCCAGAAGCAGTACAGGACATCTGCATGTTGCGTTTGGTTGCAAGCAGGAGAACCAGTGGGTAAAGATGGGAGCACATCACACACTGGAGATTGAGCTCAACAACAAGCTCACGCTTGGCAAGGACCCCTGATCGGTTGCCATCACCATATGAGATGGGTAGGACGTGCTATAAAGCTCCGTCCAGGATAGATGGGATGCGATGCACCTGCAGCAGTTGGACGATGCCACCGATGTACATAAGACCTCGGAGGCGGGATGGCGTCGCTTCCACATTGGTGAAGAATACTACAGTGCAACAGTGGTAGTTACTTCACATGCAAGTGCTTCGCATGTGCATTGACCGTCCCTGTGTTGTGCCACAATCTTGTTCTTGGTCCTTCGTGCCAGTGAGGTGGCAGTTCTGCTCATGGAGGCGCCAACTTGATGCTGATGTGTTTTGGCGGAGTCGATCTGATATGATTCTGATAGCTGCAAAGCAGATGCTCGAACCCGGCTCAGTCGCATGTAGCTTCGCACATGATCCAATGGGAGTGCCTAAAAGCATCTGAAGACCACTGAGGGATACCATGGTGCCTGAATAACTAATTACCAAGTATGGAGAATCAAATAACCAAATGGACAAGGTTTAAGATGACGGAAAATGAAGTGGCAAGTGGGCACAAGAAACGTTGTACGAAGTGAGGCTGGCAAGCTTACAAACTATACTGATGTGACATATAGATTGTCACAAGCTGGGCGGTTTTTGTGAGTGCAAGCAAAAACTTGGTGGCTGGAAAAGCAAGATGCAAGTATCAAGCCCTATAGTGATGAGCTGACTACTGATGACCTCGCCATGCGCTCGGCTCTTCGACTTGCGGCACTTGGGCCCGGGTTGCAGGCCCAGCCCAGACTTGACATGGCTTGCAGACATGGCTTCTGGCTTGCTTCTGGCTTGGCAAAGCGGTTCGCATAAGGACGTGGAACGCTTGGGAGTGGCGGAGTTGAGCCGTGCAGCACGTCGGGCCTTGGCAGAGGGCGACCTTACCGAGGCGCCAGCCGCCAGCCTGCCGCAGAAGCTGCTTCTGTGGTGATCTGCCTGTACTCGTCAGACTCTGTGGGCAAGATATGCGGCGCGAACGGAAGAGCTGCTGCCAGAACTACGCTTCGCAGAGGCCAAGAGATGTCTGTAATGGAAGATTCTGGTGCGGCAGCCCTTCTCTTGCAGCAGGCAGCTCGCTTTGCATCGGCCTTCTCAACGGCCAGATATGTGCATAACCCAGTCTGCATGCCGTATTCAGTGTTCATATATGTTCATACATTGGAGCCAAATTCCTGCTCAGGTTGACTTCCCCCTGTTTGCCAAGCTGTCGGCGAGCGTCTTACCGCTTGTGCGAAGCAACGTGAATGATAGCGTCCGGCTCCTGTGCAGCAGTGCCGAAAATTTGAGTCTTCCTTGCTTCCACCTTGCATGCAACATGTGCAAACACCGCATCCATCACTCGAAGTTGTCATCTCCCTGTGTACATGTGAAGCTTACCTGCTTTTGCAAAAGATTTGTTTTTGCAGCACTTTGGTGTTTGATTTTTGCTCGGCTTCTGCAGGGGCTCCTTGTTTCCGAGAGCATCCATTTCCCAACATCTATCCGATCCTAGCAGTACCTATCATCATTTGCGCACATTTACGCATTGTCGGCTGCCTTCTGAGGCCAGGGCATTGGAATGCTTGCCCCAAAAGGTAAGAGAGGAGGCCGCCAGAGAAGCGTGCTTTTTTTCCGGGGAAGGGAAAGGGTAAAAGGTAAAAGCCACAACCCTGAGGATAAGACGAAGCTCTCGGCGCAAGATCTGCGACGGATGGCTGTTGCCTGTGGAAAATCTCAAAGCTTTGACAGCGACTTGCTCGAGGCCGGTAGAGAGGAGCTTTGCCCCAAACCCCTCATATCTCTCCGTGAAGCCAAGGGGATGGTGCCCTTCATTGCAGACCAAGTGCAAGACTTCCGACCTCGTGAGCTCGTACACATTGCAGACGCTTATGCAGCACCGCTGCATATCATGTTCAAACAGACTGACAGACTTAAAATCCCAGATGATTTGCGTGTCCCGGCTTGTTGCGCATTAGGCCAGGCTGCCAGTCCACAACTGAGTCTGAAGTCTTTAAGTGACGAGCCAGCGGCTGCGCGTCTCAGAGACTCCAGTGGTTGCGAAGGTGCAGAACCCAGAGCTCTTTGCGCTTGCTGCTGCCTCAGGGCCTCAGGGTTCTGGACTCCTACGGTTGTGCTGCTTTTGGTCCCATAGCATAAGAGCAGCGTGTTACTCAAGAGGAGACTTCGGCATATGTCATCGTGGTGGTTACTTCATGCTTGTGTCTGTGTCACTGCTTGAACCTAGCAGTTTATGGCTCAGGTTGCGGAAGCCTTGCCCCGCTATCTGTATGATCTGGATCCTCCCGAGCTGGCGAGCCTATGCAGAAGTTTTGCGGAGGCACACGCCACAAATCCTCGTAAACAGCTGTAGAATCTCATGTCCTTTCACTTTCCATGTCATGTTATTTTCCATTTGATTCTCCACTGTGGGGCGTTATGCACCCCCACAATTGAGTTATATTTCTCTCTCTTTCTCTATATATATATAGAAGTATATGGTTTTAGCCTAGCAAGATTCCCAAGACTTGTAATCAACTTTTGGTAGCAGAAATCTTCTCATGTTGACAGGGGTTCGTGGGCCAATTCTTTCACTCCCAGTTAGAGAAGTGAATGAAGAGAACGCAACTAACTCATGAACTCAGGACCTCACGACCCAACTTACTTCATTTCAAAATTTTGTCCTCTCTCTTATACAGATTATGAAGCTACGTAGCTGGTGGGGTCGTGAAGGGCGCGCACTTAGTTTAATTGATTCACTCATTCATTCGTTCAATTGTTAGATTAATTCGCTTCCTCCACCAATTAAAAGGAGTGAAATGATTGAGTGAACGGATGAACGAATCAATTGGCGGCCCCACGGATCCTAGGTCAAATGAGTGTGAGGATGTGGAAAAAGCGGTTACTATTTGTATTTGGAATTGTTCGCTCCTTAGAGACCACTTTCTTCATGGCCGTGAGGAACTCTACTAGCTAAAAGCCTGGCATTACAGGAGCTCCTAGAACAACTAATACAAATGACCGTGGAAATCTCTGGGCTAATTATATTTACATTTTCCGTATCTCTCCCTTTCTATATATACATATAAGAATAGTATCAATTTCATCTCCACTCATCCCTTAGAGCCTGTGTAAAAGCCAAGGTGGCTTTCAAGCCGCAGGCCAGCTGCCACATGCTGCGACATGCTGCGACGTGCCTGAGGCAGCTGTCTATAACGAGGACCTTGCCGACGAACTTGCAGCCGAGGCTCCGAGTCTGTCTCAGACATCTGTAAGACCACTATACGAGCCTAGTTTTTCAATTTCATTTTCAAGTTTCTTTTCCTTTTGATTCTCCATTCTACGGGTTACATATCCCAATGATATCCCTATATGACCCTATCTATACATTGGAAGAGGTCTCCAAGAGGGCGCGGAGCTTTGGCGCGGTAGAATGCCTGGTCTTCCTCGATGCCTTATCTCGGCTCCACGAAGGGATGCCCGAGGCTCGGCGGGTTTCCCATGAAGCCGCCAAGATCTCAGGTGACTGTCGCGGCATGACTCATCCAGGAACTGCGAGAATCTCGCAAAGAACGAGATGCAGATGTCATAGCTGCAATCTCAGCTTTTTCCCTGGAACGCTCTTGGGAGAATCGTGACCGCTGCCTCCACAAAATGCACGGCACAGACTGTCTGCCAGACAATATGTGCAAGAGGAGTTTCCAACAACTTCCGTACATGACACTTTTGCTATCTTTTGCTCATGACATCAATGTGTTGAGACCACTTCGACTTCAGGCAGCCATATCCGATCAGCTGAGCGGCTCTGCCTCGGCTTTGGCAGCCCATGATTTGGCGCCTCCAGCTTGTTTCGGGATGTTGGGGTCAACATCACAAACAGCATGGTACCATATGGCTGGTGCAGCATGCAAAGAGAAAAGGGAGTAAATGTAATTAGTCTGCAGTCAGTAGCAGTAGTAGCAGTAGCATGATCAACAGCAGGAGTAGGCGGGACTGTTTTCAGATTGTCATCATCGTCATAGTCGTGATCAGTCTTGGTCGGCTCATCTTGATCATGATGAATCATCATTGTCCTGTCAGCAGACATGGGAGTATGTCCGTGGTAGATCCCGTTTGAGGTCCGGGCCTTCTCTGCTTTGGTGCGGTTGGATCATTACAACCCTCGCCTCGTGCATGGTTGTGGGCCCGGCTTGCTGCAGCCAAGGGTCGTGGCTCGTATGAATCAGGTTGACGGTTCAGCGCGCAGTCTTCATTCTCAGGTCGGATTTGCACTGCGTTGGCCCTGAAGCTTGATCAGCTTACGCAGGCATCTGGCCAGAGCTTTTTGCTATGTCTCGCTCATCATGCTATTGGGGCTTGTCTGAAGCTCTGTAGGCTTAGAAGGGTCATTGCTTAGAAATCAGGACGATCATGAATTTGAAAATGAAGGCAAATAAAAGTTGAATAAAAGCTAGCTAGAAGACAAATCCTCCTGATCTGAAAAGCTGCAGGAAAGCTGCTAAAAAGCTAGCAGAAAACTGCCAGCCAAACCTTCCAGCTTTTCTTTCTCCAGCCTTCTTGCAGCTTTTCTGAAAGTTTTCAGGTTTTGCTAGGAACAAGCAAGGTTCTGGCTTTGTTCAGCTTTTTAGCATGTTTTTTCAGCTTTTTCCTAGGGAGAAGCTAAGTTCTTCCTGCGGTTGTTTTCAACTTTTCGGCAGCTTTTTGGCAGCCTTTTTTCAGCTTTCTGGCAGCTGTTTTCAGCTTTTTCCTAGGGGAAAGCTAATTTCTTCCCCGCGGCTAACTTGTTCGGCAGCTTTTCGGTAGCTTTTTGGCAGCTTTTTCGGCAGCTTTTTGGCAGCAATTTTTCAGCTTTTTCCTAGGGCAAAGCTAATTTCTTCCCGCGGCTAACTTGTTTTCAGCTTTTCGGCCGGCAGTTTTTTGGCAGCTTGTTGGTATTTTTCAGCTCTTTGGCAGCTTTTTTTTTCAGCTTTTTCCTAGGGAAAAGCTAAGTTCTTTTCGCGGTTAGCTTGTTTTCAACTTTTTGGAAGCTGTTTTTTCAGCTTTGTCCTAAGGAAAAGCTAAGTTCTTACCGCGGCTAACTTATTCTCAACTTTTCGGCAGCTTTTTTTTCAGCTTTTTGGCAGCCTGTTTTCAGCTTTTTGTCAGATTTTTTTCAGCGATTTGGCAGCTTTTTTCGACGTTTTCTCATCTCCCCCGACCTTGGATCTTGGCTCGTTTGACACCTTTGATTCTCGTTCTTTGCTCCTTTCTTTCAAAAGGATGATCCCAGGATCTCTAAGGTAAAGACCGTTCTAACTGTAGGCTTGCCAGTGACCGACGCATGGCACTTCAAACCATGTTCGGCAGTGTTCTGTCTGGCACAGATTAAAGCGCGGATGTCTGCTTGCAGGGCCCTGTGGCTGGAGCATTTGCTCGTCCACAGCAGGTGCGCTGCGGTGCATTCTCTGAAACACCTGGGGCTTTTGTCAGTGCTGCTTGAGGCGACTCGTGGCCTTGCTGCTCTAGCAGAGCTGCTGCACTGCTTGAGTCTGCTGCCAGCAACATCCTCGGATTGCAAACCTCCACTTTATGCCATAAAGTTTATGGTCAGCCTGTTATGGTTGTCAGTGCTGGGAGGCACAATCTCATAAATCCGCAGAGCTTGCGCTGGCTGTGAGCCATTCGATGACACAGACTCTAGGCTGCCGTTCAAGGAGTGATGTGGTAGCCAGCGCTCCGAGCGCATTCAGACTCCTTTTTGCTGAGGTTATCTAAGGTAATCTAAGGTTAATCAGGCAACTTCTCCTGGACCACCAGCAGGATGCAGAGCGCCGAGGTCCGACTCGAAGCAAAGCGAAGCATCAGCAAAGCATCGGCAAAGCTGGCCATTCTGACCTCCAACCAGGCGCAGCTTCGGGCAAGGATGTCACTGGATCGGTTGGTCCGGGCCGAAGCCAGCAAACTTTTCGTGTAAGGTAACTGCCTCAACAACGTAATCGTACAATCGCACGTTACCCATGCCATGGCATTGCGGACAGGTTAGAGCAGCCTTCATGCGTTTCTGTGCTTGAAAACATTGGAGTCTACTTTCGAGCTCAACGCAGCAGTGTCGGCTGGCAACGCGTATCATCACGTAGACTATGCACAGGGCCATGAATTCAGATTGCTACTGAGTAGCAGGTGCCACCAGGCCTCAACTCTTCCAAGCCTAGGCATGTGGCTATCTTGCGGCGAAGTCAAACATGCTGCGCTAGCCAGCGGGTGGATAGGCGGGCGAAGTCCAAAGCGCGGCGATGCGTGGCGCGCCGGCCCCCAGCATTGAAGATTTGGGAAGATTTGGGTTAAGGGTGGTGGGAGAGCTGGGGAAGGCGAAGGTGAGAGTGAAGGAAATGAGGGGAGGGAGGGGAAGGAGGAAGGAGTAGTTGACAAAAAGCTTCCACTTCCCGGGGCCTGGAAAACGATGTAAGCAGCGGCCAAAAATGATACTCCCAGTTTTCACGCCTCAGATATGAAAAGCCTGTTGCATCGTAGAAATCCGGCAACTGATGGCCAAGTGTTGTGAAACTGAAACACAACAACCTGTAAGTCGATTCGGGTCAATCCAGGATTTTGCGTAAAAGGAAGAAAGAAGTAGGTTTTCTCAATGCTCATGAAAATCTAGCGGCCCTCATCTGGTAAATGCTGAATTGGGACGAATTGGGAAAACTCGGCAATCTGATGCAGTAGCACGGGGTACTGTATCCATAGCACGGACGCAGAGAGGTGTTATGGGCTTATGCGGGAAATGAAGCATGGCCTCCTTGACACACGTTCGGGTGCCGCTGTCAGATGTCGCTGCAGATTTTGGAAAGGCGCAATAATTGGTGATGCGAGACCACTGTCTTCTGAAATGTTTGGGGTCATTTGAGTATTGGGTCTCTGGCCGACATGACAATGCCTCCCATTCAAGGCTCCCGCAAACAAGGAATAACTTGATTTTGAATGAGCGCGCGCCACCTAGCAACATGGTGTGTCTGCAGTGACGGTGCATTGCATGCCCCACTTCCGGCTTCGATGCTTTGCACATTGATTGAGACAGGGCCATGTGCATGTCTAACGGCTTGGGGCCTGAGGGCGTCTTGTGTATCCTTGTGTCTTGCACAACCGAACTTTAGCAGATCGTGCAATGAAAGAGCTGCTTGAAGCACGCTGAGTGCCATGCTTGTGAGACCTTGTTCTTTCCATCTGAGTGGCTGCTTTCGTTTTCTTTGATCGCAGCCTTGAGGTCGATTGCCCGAGCCAAGAGCTTTGGCACTGGCAGCGGTCGGTGCCTCATTAAGTAGAGTATGAGGGTATAAAGGTGTATCAACGTTGTCTCATGATTGCCTCCGTCTTGAGTTGCACTTTGATCTCGTTGAGGCCGCGGTTGCCCAGCTTGGCCGTGCTGGTCAAGAGGATGATGAGCTATTGCAGATGTTGGGCTCTGTGGTGGCAGGTTGCCACCTCAAGCATCCTTTTGTGTGGAGTCTTCTGGCACAGTTTGTGCGATTTCAAGTCTTTGTCCCGAACATCGTCAGGTCCACAGACTTCTGCAGCTTTGCTGGCATTGACCTCTGAGGATGAACTCCTGGATCTCAAGCGTGTCTTGATTTCAAGATTGGCACCTTGTTTTTTCTGGTATTATCGCCGTGCAGTGCCCACCGCGACGCTGTGCCAACTGCCTATGTAATTTATCGCTTACGTCAATGGCAAGTTGCTGTGACGCCAGCCTTGTCAGTAATCTTGCAGTATCTTGCAGTATGCCATGCCATTCTCGGTGTGGAAGCACAGCTGCTTTTCAATGAGCTTTGCTGCTTTGCCACACTGACCAAAACTTTGGTAAGAGCTGCCAAGATTGTCGGCTGCTGCGTAGCGGCCCATGGCTTCTTTGAAGAAGGTTGTCCAACCTTCATGTAGCCAAGGTGCCTTTCAGCTGAGCCACAGTCCAGCAGCTGCCAGCACACTGGAGGTCCCAGACTACTGAATGTCAAGTTGAAGTGTCGCCAGAAAGTGATCCGTGCTTCGCAAGTAGACTGGTGTGAAGCTTTGGAGATCTGGGCTGAGATTGGCATGTACTGGGCTGGACTCACGGCATCTGAGGCCATTGCAAAAGAGATGCAGCATCGTGGCATGCAAGTCGATTGAAAAAAGAGGAAGTGCCCAGGGTTGAACTTGCTGGTCCCTGAGCAAAGCCACGTGTTCGTCTTACATTTGGACTGTGCAAGCCTGACTGGGTTGCTTCTTGTGGCGTCTGTGCTTTCTGTTCAGCTCTTTCTCGACACTTGAGCCCCTAAACTTTAGATCACGCCGTGTTTGCCAATTTGACTGGACACACCACCCAAAATCATGAAGGGAAGAGGTGGGTCAGTTGGGTGGAATCACTTTCAGGCTAGCGGGGATGAGCCCATTAACGTGGTTTCCTCTTCAGTGTAGGGTGCCACCCCCTCGCATCTGCATATAACAAAGGCAAAATGTACAGGAAGCAGACCTCGTCAAGAGGAGCCAATGGCTGGGACTTGTTAGAATTGTCAAGAGCAAAGCAGCTGTGGTGATTTGTTGTGTTAAGAGTGGCAGCTATCCTTGGCTTCCGGGTGTCGCATGGGCGTGCTTAGAATGGATGCCTTGCAACGAAAACAACAGACTCACTCCCACGTCACAACTGCTGCAAATGCAGCGCTGCATCGCGGTTCCGAGTGCAGACGCAGCAAGTCTGCGGTGTTGGATAGGCTGGCATCGCCAACTTCCACCTGCTTACTGCAGCCGGATCCTCTGCAACCGCATCTAATTAAATCAAACGTCCTCCTGCAAACCGACTCAGTGCAAATTGCAAGTCAGATAGCATTCTCACAGCCAGCCGCTGAGGTCTTAGCTAAAGACGTTCATCGAGTTTCCGTTGCATTGCCCAAGAAGAGGGCCTGAACCCTCAGTTATAAAGATGCAAAAATGCCGAGGCAAGCTGCAAGTAGCCGCAGCCTGCACCACAGGCAACCACGACGAATTATGACAAGGCTTTGGTGCGGTTCTTCGAGCAGGCGCCGAGTCATCATGCTTGTCTTCTCACCTCGGACTAAATAGCAAAACTGCAAAGCGGATACCACAATCAGGTTGCGCGGTGGCCATCCTAACACCAGCAAAACTCAAATCTCGAAGGCAACGACCTTCCAACCGCGGCAAGCCGGGAAAATGCGAACCTCGACGGGTTGGGGAAAAATCATTTATGTGGTGAGCCACGAAACTGTCTCCATGCCCCACCTGGCGTAGTTCTGAGCGCTGCGGGCTACCTGATTGTGTGGGAATGACCCTTTTCGTTGGCAAGTTGTTTCCGTAGATTGGGCACAGTTTGCTCGCAGTTCATGCCGATCGTGACTCGGCCCGTAATTTTCATGGTCAGGTGTACCAGGGTATCAAAGATCACATCAACCTGGATTTGGTGAAGTGCGTCTTGATGGCAGGCCCAGGATTTGTGAAGGACTGCTTGCCTTTTCAGATGACAATGCTGTGAAAGTGAAAGATTGGCGGGGGTTGGCGCCACGCCCGGATTCTGGGGGAAGCCTTGCATACGCTTTGAGCGCATGCAGTGGAAGACGGAGGGAGTGAAGGGCTTCAGCATGCCCTGGCAGGACGACTTTCTGGCATGGATGCTGCAAAGGGCAACCCAGTCGGGGCATTGGACTCAGAGAATGCATGACAGCCATTACACTTATTGTGAGGGTTGTCATGCAGAGCAGCGCGTTTCCTTTGACCAGAATGTGCACTTCGATCTTGATACGACATGGACAGTTCCGTGATGTGCTAGCTCGGGGAGTGGACGTTGTGGGAATCGGGTCGAGGGGCTGGAAGGTGTACTGTATCAGACTTGCACACACGCACTGTGTTTCTCAACTGCAAATGTCCAAGGGATACACAGCTTCTGCAGAAGAAGAGCAGCTTCGTTTGTGTCCATGCTTCTTGCGTGCTGCTTGGCAGCAATTCATGCGCGGGATCCGTTCAGACTGTTTGCTGCTTATCCGCTGTAATGTCCATTGCATGTTCGCAGGTGTCTATACGGCTGGCGTCTGTAAACCTGATGGCCAGATACTGCCAGTCAAAGGGTCCACCATCTGCTGCACCATTGATGAGCGCATCAGAAAGCGCAGGGCCACAGTGCCTAATTCGCGTAGTTTGTCAGGATGATAAGCATGTAAGAACGTGTTGCCGTGATGGTAAATGATGACAGCTCGATATCGAGTTCAAAGAGGCGTTTCAATTGACTGACTTCAAGCCCCAACTCGATTATCATCAGTTCAGCTCCATCGAGGTGAAATCCAGAAACCCTTCGCGTTTACCCCAAAGTGCAGTTGCGCAGAGCTGAATCAGAATCTGAATTTGAGCCAGACCTGAGGCACAAACAAGCGCTAAAAGAGCTGCTGGCAGATGAGCAGGCCGGTCTGGCACATTCTGGACCGAGATGCGCCGAGCAGCGGCCTCCAGGATAAAACTGAATTGTACAAGAGGCAAATTGAGCTGGTGGGGTTTTAGAAGGTATATTCTAACAACAACAACAACAATGCTAATAGCTTATGCGGATCCCAGGATTAAGGGTCTATACTAGCGGCCCGCATTTCCAACCCTTCAAATGAGCTGTGATGAGCGGTGAGTTTGCGCAGCCTGGTGCAAGTTGTTTAAGCCAAGGGATCCACAAAACTCTGAATGAAAATAAGACAAGATGCCAGGTTCAGAAAAGCATCGCCAACACGAAAGCCGCTGCGCATTTGAAGGCGACTGCAGGGTGGGTCAGTGAAACCCGCAAGCATGATGCTGTACCCTGCATACAGAGGGTCGATCTTCCGACTCCACCTGTCAGCTCACTTGACGCTCTTCAGCTCAAGTTTCTCTATTGCCATCGTATTCGGGGGTTTTCATAAATAGGGAGGCCCAATATAGACCCCAATCTATAATTATCCTTTGAAAGGGATTCCCACAAAAGAAAAGGTTCCCTAATTCCTGGAACCCCTGTTTGAAGGCCTGCAGGTTTTTGTCAATCTTTTGGCGGGCCAAGCACATGTCATTGACATCCCTATTGGGCATTTTACTGAAATCTTCCTCTCCTCTAAACTGTCAGCCTGAGTCCTCAACCTGCTCGAAGACAGCAGACAGTCACCCAGGCCCCAGGAATTGCATTCTGGCTTTGGGGTAGCATCTTGTGCATTTTTCCTACGCCGTGTAGCTTTTCCATGTTTGGCCGTGGGTTGCTTTTCACGAGTGGAATTTGACTTCTGGTATGTCACTGACGGACGTAATTCCCGCCAACTTGCGGACTCACGCTTCCATCATGGTTTGTGTCTGCAAGCTGAGAGTGGGTGCCGGTCCACATTCAAACTCGGTTGACAAATGCTGGATGCTTTGCGGCCTTGAGGCGCTGGAGGAGTTTTATGTGATGGTGCAGAAGGAGTGCGGGAGCTCAGCAGCTCAGCAGCTCAGCGTTATAAGTTCTTCGGCTTCAAGCAAGGCCTGACCGCGTCTGCTACGGACCGAAGCAGGTGACAGTGGGTGAAATGAAGAACGCATCCCTTCGACATTGAGCACTTTCAGCTGCAGGTGCATGAAGCCATCGAGAAATGCGCAGTGCAAACGCTCATGGTGGCTGAGCTGAACACGGTCAAAGCAACGAAGTGAATGTACAGGCGCGCTTGACAGCCAGAGTTCTTTGCCTGGGTGCCTGCAGGTGGTGGATTCTTTGTTTCGAAACGCGAACGTGAAGCTGCGAAGACAGTGCGCCGCTGGAATGTTGCACCTGCCACTCGTGCCTTGCGCTACAGAGTGACTTCAACAGCCTTATCCTCTGTTGTTGCACAGCCTGAGCTACAAGGAAAGTTAGAGTGCGAGCTGCAAGGTACGTCGACATGGTGGAAACCGCAAGAGATCAGGTGGGGCAGTGGACATCTGGGCATCGCAGACATGAACTTTGTGACAGCCATTGATTGTTGTTTTGGTTTCCTCGTGCTGCATTGGCCCGACCTTCACATGTGCTGACTCCAGCTGCGAGATGTCACATAAGAGCTCAAATAAGCTGGAGCCCGAACTAGCGTACTTACTTTACATCGGGCATAAACATGTTCCAAAACATGTGTTGCTTGGAATCGCTAAGAACCATTCAAGACCATCTCCATCCCAACAATACCAATACATTCGGGTGTAGTCTTGGATCGGCGGGACCCACTCGTGACCATCTATAGCCACACAGCACTAGTGTTGTATATATATATATATTATACATACATGCCATGTGTAGAGTTCAGAGGTTGCACATGCAGTCCCCAGGCGCTGTGAGTAACGACGCCCAAAACAGCAAGCAGCTGCGAACGCCAGGGCGCCAACTGCCAGATCTTCTCGTCGCAGCACGTCAGTGGTGAGCAGCTTCAGGCCAGCAGGTCACGCATCACTGGCTTTGCTGCTGTTGCGTAAGTGCTACCCTGCGCTCAGCAGCTCAGCGGGATCGCGGGCGTCTTGCGCTTCCCGCTTCCAGAAATAGGCGACATCGACAGGCTGGAGGGTCTACAGGGATAACGAGGAAACTCTCGCATGCTACCTCCTTTTTTCTCATGGAGCAACAACATTGGCTAGACGGTTACTATTTCCAGTAGTTGAATGTTGTGTCAGAAAGAATGAACATGGTTCAGCTGCACTCTGTGGTATTGGTAGGTAGAGACATTCTTTTGACTGGCTTGCCCCAGTGATGCCGGCTTGAGCGACGACGGCGCTGAAGAGGAGAAGGGACAAGCGGCCCAGGCTCGGACGACGATCACGACTGGTGACCTTGTGGTTTCAAAGACACAGCATGACCCTAACCTCCTTGCGTTGCACCAGGAAAATGATGCAGACGACTTCATGTGAAAGGTTCGCCGCGAGTTGCGAAAAAGCGCGTTTTGGAACTGTAGTGAGATTCATACTGCCAAGGGGGAGTACATAACTAGCTGTGAGGGTTCCTGTATGCTCCAGTATACACCCTTCAGAACCGGGCGCTTTTCGAAATAGCGTCTGCATTAAGCGGTTTGGCGTGTCGCAGGTGTGTGTGAACTCTCTCATATGCTAGACGTGTTTTGCTGCTAGTACGGTTGACAGGGGCGGAGGTTCAAAGTTGTTTTTTTTTCTGCAAGGCTTCCAGATGAACTGCAACAAAATCATGGACAATTCCTGTCGAGGGATCGCTTGTACAGCGGAATTCGCTTGCTTGGGAAAAGGTTTCGTATTCATTTCGGGATGTTCAGTTTTTTAGAATCACGGCTGCGGTCACCTTGCGGCTTTGAGGATATTGCTTTCAGTTGGGCCAAAGGGCCTGGCGGGGTTAAGGGCCCAGTTAGGTGTGGGGCGTGCAGGCAGAAATTCCTCCAGATACCTGAGGGCCAGCAGACGTCAAGCCACAGCGCGGACCTCCACTGAAATCGCTCGTCGCTTTAATCACTGCCTTGCCTCACCAACTGAACTTTCCTGAGAGGTGGTGCTTGATGCGCTTGTTAACGCATTCTTGAGATTGCTTTAGCTGCTCGTTCTGCAGCATTTGGCTCAACTTGGAGCGTGAGGAGGAGGAGGCCATGGCAGTGCTCGGGCCTAAGAGTCTATGCAGTGCGCATGCAGCTTTGCGTGCCTCTGCTGTGTGTGTGTGTGTGTGTGTATGTGTGTGTTATCCTCTGTACCAAAGAGTTGTAACTAGTTTCAATCAATTTTCGCAACAACGTGAAATAAACCATGCAGGGGGCCCAAGGGCCATTGGATGGTTTGGGCCAACGAAGACCCATCCAATGTGCCGTGTAAACGTACCTGCGAGAAAAAAAGGTCGACATGGGTACCTTCGGGTGCAGCTTGT